TAATTCAGCTCTGCATCAGAGCTAAGAATTCAGGACAGACTCCTATATAATTTCAACAATCAGTAATACCATTAGCTCTGTGTCTGATCTAGAAATTCAGTTTGTTTTCAACACGACGTTAACAACGACAACAACAATACTACTGAAGACAGACACAAGCTTAATTTCAATATGAAAGATGTAATGACTTACCTGAGCAGTGATCACATGGTTTGTAATTATCCATAAATTATCTTGTTGTCGTTTATATTCTATTTGTAATGTTTTATTATCTTTCTCAATAGCTGTTAAATTATGTCTGGATCTGTAGTAGTGGAATATCAACTCATAAAACTCATGTCTTTCTTGGTAGCTATCCTGAAATATGCATAGATTGTATTAGTGAGTGTAAAAATATATGGAACAGTGCCCTCTAGTGGTGTTATAGCACCCTCTACTGGCATTATGTCTGGATCTGTAGTAGTGGAATACCAGCTCGTGTCTTTCTTGGTAGCCATCCTGAAACATGTATGGATTGTATTAGTGAGTGTAAAGATACATGGAAACAGGTTCCTCTAATGGTGTTATAGTACCCTCTTCTGGGATTATATCTGATGACAACAACAACAGCCCATCACATCAATCATAACAACACGCCAGCCTAAGCTTACATCAGATTTTGAACCCTTTATACTGTAATTGCTTTACTTGATATTTCGCTTACCTGTATAAACCTGTCAACTTCATCTTCTAACGTTTGTAACTGTGGATTGTAATAATACAACCGTAACTCGTCTGCTGTAAATGGCTTCAATTTGTCCAAATCTTCTGCTAAGCTGCTAATCTCTGGATAGAGTCGCTCACGGATATCACGGCTGGTCTCGTTACCAACTTCTGGGAATGTCTTTATCGGTGATGTCTCAACTGCGGTAGTATTTTGATGTACTGCTGTTAGCGTTGCTGGCATCGAAATAGGGGGCGCTGTTGGTTGATCAGGTATCATACTATTCGTCTCGCCACGTTCGTTTACCCGATCCCAGCTCTGGAAATCACTTGATATCTGACTTGCATTCAACGCCTCCAAGATAGTTTCATCATCCCGTGTACTTTTAACGTCATTAATATCATGTTCGGCATGTTCAAGTTCATCCTCCGCTTGACGCAATTCAGGTATTTCACCTTGTCCACCTCCAGAAAATTCTTCCCCCTCATTAGCTCCCTCCACAGGTGATCCTTGATCCTCACTACCCCCATGTACAGACGGCTCTTGTCCCTCACTGATCCCCTCAACAGGAAATTCTGGTATTTCAGATTGTTTATTTTCCAGACTTTTCATCTCAGCCGCCTCGTCACTTTTCGTACATTGTTCATCTTCATCTACCTCAGTTTTTATGTTCTCCTTTTGTTCCTGTTCCTGTTCTAATCCTCCTGGATCATCTTCACCAACCCTCTCTTCTATATTTTCATCATTTTCCCCCTCCTCCTTTTCAACACCTGTTTCCATCTTCACTTCTTCATCTTCTTTTAATTCAGAATCCTGCTTGATATTCTCCCCATCTTCGGATTCCACTCGTTCTTGATCCGCATTTCCAGGAATATTAGACGGAGGTTTAGGTAAATGTAATGAATCATCGCTGGTTCCCTCAGTTACTTTATGTTTATTCTAAAAAAAATAAAAGACAGGAGAAAATATTATGATTTTGTTATCCTCGGGGGCGAGGCTACATCACAAGACGTTCCACAAAGCTAAGACGTGCACCAGTGTACCATGTGGAACACCAGTCGAAGAGCCGGTGAAAATTCAAGAAAACAACACAAACTCAACTTTGAAGCAATACTGAATAACCAAATTTATATAGGTTGCACATGCAGGGGTAATCTTGTTACACTGTTCAGGAGAGTCTCAACAACCATCTCAAAGTACTGTTTTCTGTTAGTTTTCTGCCTTTGTTTGATGTGATGGTTGCCAGGCGATGAAAATGCCTGTATGTCTGCCCCCAAGAATTAGGCCCGTTTAAATTCCACGAGTTGCTAAAAACA